ATAGATAGAAATTCCCGACATTATGGATTGAGGTCAAAAGAAATTTTCAGAAAATATTCACCAATTAATCGATCCGATTGATATTTTAAAAGAACATGTATGATAACGGATATTAATACTTTATAGGTTTTCTTAAGGCTATAGAAATATCTGTTTAAATACTGAATAGCAAATGAAATATCATACATGTGTACATGATTGTAATACAGATTTTTCAAATCATTTATCGATCGTTTCTTAGTAAATTCTATAATTGCATATAACATCTTCGTGATATATAATTAACATAATACATTTACACATACTACATGTTGTTCGTAGCTCGGTACTTATACATTTCCGCCATTGTGTTATTGTGCTATTGTCAATTTTGTATTCTTGGCCTTCATTTCTGTGTACTTTTTCTATAGAGTGTCTATATTATGCTATTTTGTTTTCCTTTGTTGATATAATTATTTATCTTTAAACATGTTAAAGTGATAAACTTGTATTAAAATGTTTTACATTCATACCTATTATGTATAATAAAATTGAGAATGGAAATGGGGAATGTGTCAAAGAGACAACAACCCGACCATAGAACAGACAACAACAGAAGGTCACCAACAGGTCTTCAATGCAGCGAGAAATTCCCGCACCCGGAGGCGTCCTTCAGCTGGCCCCTAAACAAATATATATACTAGTTCAGTGATAATGAACGCCATACTAAACTCCAAATTGTACACAAGAAACTAAAATTAAAAATAATACAAGACTGACAAAGGCTAGAGGCTCCTGACTTGGGACAGGCGCAAAAATGCGGCGGGGTTAAACATGTTTATGAGATCTCAACCCTCCCCCTATACCTCTAGCCAATGTAGAAAAGTAAACGCATAACAATACGCACATTAAAATTCAGTTCAAGAGAAGTCCGAGTCTGATGTCAGAAGATGTAACCAAAGAAAATAAACAAAATGACAATAATACATAAATAACAACAGACTACTAGCAGTTAACTGACATGCCAGCTCCAGACTTCAATTAAACTGATTGAAAGATTAGGTCTTCATCATATGAATATCAGGCACAATCCTTCCCGTTAGGGGTTTAGTATCATACCATCATAACATATATGAGAAGAACATAACCCGTGTCATGCCAACAACTGGTTTTTAAATAAATGTGTTTAGTGCCGATGCAAAGACCCTATAAGTGAATCAATATTAACGCCAAAATATGCAATCTTTAATGACCTGACAACAGTATCGTAACTATATCCCTTCTTAATAATTCTATTTAAAGGTTTTGTTAGCTTCAGAGGTGAATACTGACATTTTTGTGCTTTATAAAGAATATTTCCATAAAAAATTGGATGTGAAATACCTGAACGTATAAGAAGTCTGCATGTTGAGCTATATTTACGAATGATGTCCTTATACCGATGATAAAATTTAGTAAATGTTTTGACAAGTTTGTGATATCGAAAACCCTGGTGTAATAATTTTTCAGTAATACATAAATTTCTCTCGTTAAAATCTAAAACATTGTTACATACACGAGCGAATCGTACAAGTTGAGATATATAAACACCGTAAGATGGTGACAAGGGAACGTCACCATCTAAAAATGGATAATTAACGATAGGAAATGAAAAATCATCTCTTTTATCATATATTTTAGTATTAAGCTTTCCGTTAATGATATAGATATCAAGATCGAGGAAAGGGCAGTGGTCATTGTTAGTATTAGCTTTATTTAAAGTAAGTTCAACAGGATAAATTTCTTTAGTATACACACTGAAGTCGTCATTATTGAGAGCCAAAATATCATCCAAATATCTAAAAGTATTATTAAATTTGTGTATCAGATGTTGTTTCGATGGGTCTTTGCTGATTTTTGTCATAAATTGTAACTCATAGCAATACAAAAAAAGGTCCGCAATAAGTGGTGCACAGTTAGTCCCCATTGGAATTCCGATGTTTGTTTTGCTCACACATTGTTATTAATATAATGGAATTATATGCGACTGTTATACAAGTGAGAGATTACGCTAGTTATAAAACCAGGTTCGTTTGATGACTTTTCGTTTTGAATTTCCCTTGGAGTTCGGTATTTTTTGTTATTTTACTTTTATTGAAATCGTCCATAAAGCATTAATTGTTTCTATTCAGAAATGTAAAACGTGTATATTTTAGATTAATAGTTAAAGGTATGGTAATCTATTGTTAACATTGAATAAGATAAACTGTTGAATTAATGACTATTAAACGACTCCAATCATATCAGATGGAATATTGTAATAGGTTTGTTTTAGAGCATGGATCCGTTTTAAGCATTTCCCTTGTTTAAGGTGGTATGGGTGTCTTTCGCCATCTTGGATTGTAAAAAACAGAGAATTTAAGGTCCAGATTTTCAATCAAGTTAGCAAAAATTGATGCAGGTAAGCACATAACTAATGTGAATTTGCATTTAAAAGAACAAATTTATAAGATTATAACTTATAAATATTAATATTTTTACAAGTGTAGATTATTTTTTGCTTGATTTATAATAAATTTAAATTGGTATTTTAAGGGGAGCTAACTCTAAATTGTGCATTTTCTGAAGGAATCTACATGGAATGTTGCTATTTTGTATTTTAGTCGGAAAAAATCGCACGGTGCCCTTATCTATTCTTTTGATATTCTTAAACAATTTTCTAAAAGTTAACCTCTCATATTTTTTTTTACAATTCTATCATTTAGTTTAGCTTCCAATCACATAATGATGTTTTTTCCTGTATAATCCATACAAAATGTGTCATTTTGTCATAACCTGTAGCTTGAGAAAATGCACGGTGACATAACGTTTTTAGTAAATTTTTGAACATATGTCAATATATACTATATATGTTTTGACAAATTCTATCATTTTCAATTTAGACTCCCATACCACTTTAACTGATATTCTTTAGAAATCTTTATTTTCAGGACTAGTTTTCTTCATCTGATGTACATTTGTTTACTTCCAAAACAGTCTAATAATGGAAATAGTAAAATAACAAACATACCGAACTCCGAGGAAAATTCACAACGGAAAGTCCATAATCAAATGGCAAAATTTAAAGCTCAAAACTCATCAAACGAATGGATGACTGTCATACTCCTTACATGGTACAGGTATTTTCCTATGTAGAAAACTTTGGATAAAACCTGGTTGTAAAGTTAGCTAGACCTGACACTTTTAACGGACTTTCCGTTTCGAATTTTCTCGAAGTTCGTTTTTTTGTTTGTTATTTTTCTTCTTTGTATGCCAATCGCATAATAATTCCAGTTTATTCACAAGCAATTAAAATATGCCGTTATTCTTTTGCTCGTAGTGTTTTATAAAAAAGAACATCAGCTAAAAAATGAATAATTCTAAATATCAAGGAAGCACAGATATCATATGTTCCATAAAGTATGTGGCTTCCATGCCTAATGCAACTTAATTCCGGGAGATTTTGGTCAGGTATCTTAGTAAAGTATCTCGGCAAAATGTGTTAACCATAGTACCACAATATCGCGAGCCTAAATATATAATTTGAAAACATAAATATTACAATCCTGTGGATTCAGTCAGGGATTTTGCATATCAATGGGCTAAACGGTAAAGAACGACATTGATTCTCCTTCCGACTGAGTAAAGGCTTTGAGGTCTTTAATACAAATTTGAATTACAAAACAAAATAGTTTCATGAACATAAATGCTAAATCTTTTTTCACCCATATTAACACTAAAATATTACAAAGTTTGGTGACTTTATTGAACGCATCCATCCTATTCAATTTGAATTATAGTATAACACAGATACAGGTTAGTCTGTCGTCTTTAACATGCTTGAGAAATTTGCCACTAGACGTTAAGCAACCAACAATCAATCAATCAGATTAGTCTGCCTCAAATCAATTTACCTAATCTAGTGACTGATAAAATCAGCTTTCCATGTACTAGTATGTGAAGCAATATTCAAGCAGCTCCTGCATACGACATATATATCTTAGTTGTCACAAATATCAAGCTAGTGCATGCCACCAGATCCGTTAAATCAGTCATAAATCTTAAGTTCTAGGCTATGTAGCAACTTTTCCCCAATATATATATATTCATCTCTGTAAGATTGAAGACAATAGCAATAAGACTAGTGATGTGTCACAAAGGGGCTGATGGTCTGGTGTTAGCCATTGCACAAGAGATTTACCTTATGAAAAACTACAGATTGTAGGAAATGTTTTCCCCAAGGAACCGTATGGACGTTGAATTTGCATTAACACTGCCGATGGCTTCCTGAAAGACCTCTGATGATATCATTGTATTACTTTGCAAGGTAAATTGCTTTATTCTAATACTTGATGCTGCCATGACTGGATTAGCATAGTGATACAAATTTTGTGTCTACATTAAAATTGTCGCAATTTAATTTTCGTACTAATTATGCCCTTACCTCAGTCCTCCTCAATGTTCATCTCTTCCCTTGTCTTACTTTCCTGCACCTCCTCACGCTCAAACATGCAAAACATATTCCTCTCTATACATTTTGTTTCTCATCACAACCTTTGCTTCTTATTATCGTCCTCCTTAAACATGTTCATCCTCTTTCTTCTTATAGACTTTTGTTACTCTTCTATTACTTATTCTCCATTTCATATTTTTTCACCACGTCATATTATTTGCCTTCCTCTTTCCCTCCTTCTCGTGCTTTTCGTTTCTTCCCCCTCTTCTCCCCCTCCTCCCTATAATTATCAATATTTGACTTTCAAAAGATTTATTAAAAAAACAATTGAAAATCTTACAAATGAATGTGTACGTATACATCAAGTATCTTAAATTTAAATATTGTATGTTTGTGAATATTTTCATGTTTCTTGTGTTTGTCTTTGTAACAACACAATATTTGGATATTACACCAATAAAATGATTTGATTTGATTTGATTTAGTATATGTTATCGATTATATTTATAGCTATCGTACGTCGACTATAAAAGGACAAGAATAAATTTGACCTAAATAAATCGTGGATTTAAATTGTATAAAGAAATACTTGGTTTTTTTTGCCACGGAGAATTCAACTTTCTGTTCTAAAGGAAAAGATTGTGAGGTAAGTAGTTTTAATTGAATTAAACTCGACACTTTGCAGTGAAAATTTGCTTATAAGTTTCCAAAATCCCTTACCAAATTATATTTTTTTTGCCTTCGTTTCGTTTCGTTTAATGTTATGCGTAAGTGCGTTGTTAAGATCTAAAGATAAAAATGTCAGCGATCAAGGTAAATTACGTCGATCAAAAATATTGCTTTTTTCCTTTGATTTTATTACATTTTTGGGAAAACCAATATTAAGAAGTAGATTCTGTTTAACTGTATTAAGATATTTCATTAATTTTACAAGATCAAAAGATCCTTTAGATAGTTACCTAAAGAATTGACGGTGTAAATGTTGGATGTGCTGGTTTCCTTATATACCAGTCTCCACAGAGATTTTTATTCACAGTGCTTGTAGTCCAAATTATAATAATATTAAAGGACGACTAAGATGCCTTAGAACGGACCCTTTCACAATAAAGAAAACAAACATATCACTTTTATCAATGAAAGTTACGTTTAGAGGAACGACACATAGTAACTGCTTCAAATGTAAGATTCTTAAGTGTCCTTAATGAGAGGGAGAATGTCAATCCCTTATTTGATCAGCAATACATAATCTTCGAATAAGTTGATATGGCTAAAATCGACAGCTATCTCATTATTTGGTTAACAGTCCTGCAGGAATGACAATTATGAATAATTTTCTGTTTTTTTATGCATAAACTATAGTTGATGGAGAGAAATTGTATGAACCAAAACCAATCATCAGGACAAGTACGAAAAATTAGTCGAAAAGTCTGAAATCGTCAGGCTACTCCTTAGAGGACCTTTTATAGCGGTTATTAAACTTTGAAGATTTACCTTATTTTTTGTTTTTTTTTTCTGAAAACTATTTGAAATATTCTCATTGCATTGTATCAATCTCATGGTTATTTGACAGATGAGCAACACAGACTCCCTTAAACTCTAGTTGTGTTGACCTTGTTGTGCTGATCATTTTGATTCTTTACAGTTTTTCTTCAATAGTTTTTGATCAGAACAGACAAAATATAGTAACTATCATTAAAGAGCAATGATTACAGCAATTATGAAAAAAATAACTGATAAGTCTTCTTTGTTGACGGATTTGTATATTTTGTCAGGTAGACAATGTTTGCTGTTTACAGTTTTCGATTAGCTCATATGTGCCCATCATACAAACGAGTAAACATTATCAAATAAGGTAATTTTATATAATTCCTATTAGGATTAAAGACTTTTTTGTAGATCTGGCTGTGCTCAATATTTTGACTGTATACAGGTTTTCGTTATTTTCTATAGTTTTGCAAAACCAAGGTAAAACATCGTTGAAGGGCAATAGCTTATGTATGTAGTTTACCAACAATTTAAAATGTTCACTTATTTATAGATCTTTTCTTGTTAATTTCTGTTATCATGTACATTTTTTTAACTACTATAGTTTCACCAAACATATCGACCTCCAAGCCAAATGAAAACAGGAGGAGTCCATATAAAGGACAAAACTAAACACTGACTTCTACCTAAACATATTTGTTGGCCAGCAAATGCATCGAATATATTTGATAAACTGGATACCCCAAAAATTATTATGACCAAATTTGGTTCATTTTTCCCAGTTGGTGAGAAGACAAAATTTGTTTAAGTTAACCGATGACGGACGCCGATGACATCCATGTGACGAAAAGCAGATGAGCTAATGACAAATAGACAACTCAAGCCAAAACCTTAAAACATACACTTTCTTTTAAGTAACAGTATTTTACACAAACCCTAGTTCACAAAATTCTTACAAATAATTTTATTTTGTAATTTAAATTAAAAAAAAATATATACACATTTAAAGCAGAAAAGGGCCAAGTTTAAAGAATGAAACACTTTATTTTAATAAAGGAATAAATAAATTGATCATATTTTATTAATGAAGGGTGTACAGTGCTAAATGTCTGACGTATCGACTGGGGATGATAGTGCTGACAATGACCAGGATGAAATATGGACACCACCATCTGGTAGGTTTTTACTTCATAGTATGTACACTGTATTTATAATAAGTGTTGATCATCGTTTTAAATATGAAAAAAATATAGATCAAAAACATCACGTTTAAAGTATACCTTTTCAATATAATCAACTCGTGTTAATTTCGTACCTAGCTCCTTTATAAATTGTGAAATTATAAAACAAACTAGGTTTTCAACTCCCTCAGACAAATTTGAACTTATGGATATGGATTCGGCTATTTCTATAGGTTCTTTTTTTTTTGTTATATAGCTCTTCAATCTCCAACTGTTTCGACATATATATGCGCAATTTCCTTTCAAATATTCGGCTTTGGGCGTTCCTGTTGAAGGAATTTTTAGAAAAGCGCTTTGAACGCATGCAATTTATAACGTGTTATTTTCATTTGTTTTTATGCAACCAATTTCAGTCTACAAAAAAAAGAAAGGCTTTAGATTATGGATTTTTTAGACATGTAGCGTTGATTTTTTTTCAGTACTAAAATGTATAATCCGGTTATGTTCAGTTGATGTCGGTCTCCTTTATAACTTAAATTAGGAAGAGGTTGTCTTATTTGGACGAGAATATTCAATATATCTAATATTACCATCCCTAAAAAATAAACTGAGCATACCATTCAATCAGAAAAAATGAAATTATTGTTTTGAGAATTAATAATCATTTCGTCATGAACAATAAGATAACACTGCACACAGCACAATATATATAATGTTTTTTACCCTGATTTTGTATGTTTATCAAGTTCTGACATCTCTCATTAAACACCCTGTTATCTAAAATTGGTGGTATAAAGTGATAGTAAAGTCCGCCCGTCTGTTCGTTGATTCATCCGTTCAAAGTTCATCTTTCTATCCCACGCCCGTTTTCACACCTGTAACTGATCTGCTGTACAGAATATCACAGAACGTTCCCAGAACCTTACTCACATGATATACTTTATCCCATCTCGTATCATTTCTTCTGATTGATATTTCGGGTTAACTTGGACAGCGACCCCTACATATTTGCAAACGTCAGTATGTCACGGAATAGAAGTTCTTTCATAATATAAGTTCCAAAAGGAAAAAATATTCTGGAATATTATTTCCACAGTAATAAATATTACTGTATATGTTCCTAACGGAATAAATGGTATAGAATATTTGTTCCAACAGGAATAAATATTATGACATTGTTTATAACAAAGTTTCCAGTGGAACTTCTGTTAGGCGGAACAAATATACGTTGACAAGTACGGTACCCTTGTCTATCTACTTCTCTTACGAAATATCTTATTATTAACATTGAAATTTTCCAAGCATCTTGGGCACCCCTTATTTCATTTTTGATAAGAATAAGTTTCAGAGTTTCCTTTGTCCTTGATATCGGATATGTTCCTTATGTCGTAACTACAATCCCGTTCCCTTTGCACGAATGTGATCTACCGAATTAGACTATTTTCAGGCTTTGTAATAACATTAGCAACACGACGAGTGCCACATGTGGAGCACGATCTACTTACCCTTCCTGAACACCTGAGATCATCCCCAGTTTTTGGTGGGGTTCGTGTTGCTTTTGTACCCCTATTTGTGACATGTTTACCTATTGTGTTTGTTTTTATTTCACACATCGTTGTCAATATAATTGAATTTGATGCGACTGTCATACAAGTGAGAGGTTAAAGTAGCTTTAAAACCAGGTTTAATCCACCATTTTCTATATAAGAATATGCATGTACCAAGTCAAGAATATGACAGTTGTTATCCATTCGTTTCATGTGTTTGAGCTTTTGATTTTGGCATTTGATTAGGGACTTCCCGATTTGAATTTACCTCGAAGTTCAGAATTTTTGTGATTTTACTTTTTTTCAGACACTGTGGACTTTGCCAACTTATTTTGGAATACTTTTTTGTATCATAATTTCCTCCTGCTAACCATATAATAACATTGTTTACCTCCTTTTAAAGGGGTGTACCCATTTTTTATGAACAACTTTGTTGAAGTCAGTTGACAGAGCCACTATCCTTTCAGTACTGAGTTTCTTAACTGTAACACCGGACGTGGCAGGTGTGTTCAACTCTAATATTAGCTGACTAAGATTGCTAGTTTTCCTTCTAAAAGTCGGTGTTTCTTTTAAGAAACCCAAACTCATCTGCCAATAAATACTGGTATCGTCAATAGCCATATAGCTGGCGTTTAACATTAAAAAATCAATTATCAATCACACAAAGATTAGTCCAAAAGAATTGTAGTTATTACAACCAAACATCCGATTAAGTCACCTAATACGATATGTAATGGGAAAAGCATTTAGAACTTGAAAAATGTTGTGAAATATTCACCTATATTTTTCACAGTCATATCTGAAAACGAAACAAAACAACTAGAAACTACCAACAACGAATTAGTAAAGAAACTAAAGAATCTTGAAGAAACGTACGCAGAGGAGGGACAGGCCAAATATGAAGCAGAAAGACGGGCAGACATTGCTGAGAAAAAACTGGAAGCTTTACAAGATAGACTTGAAAGGTGCGTTTTTCTTTTTTTGTAACATTATAGTTCTTAGAACTGTTCATTTCAACACTGGACATATTAATGAGAAAATAACAAAAAGAAAATTTATTATCTGTATCATTTCGTTACCTAGCGGGAAAAGTTATATTTAGGAAAAAATCTTAAACATAGACTTTTATCCAACTATTAGTTTATGAATTTCGATTACTTTGTTGAGGGATTGAAAATAAGGGCTGACTTAATAAGAAAATTTTAAGCATGAAGGTCATTTCAAATTTGTCTTTGAAAAAGCAAGAACTACTAGTAAACTTAAGTACAGTGTAGCAGACAAGTTACAAATTTCAATCATTAAATATGTCAATGGGAAGAAGAAAATTTCCCACTATCTGTATGCATGCTCACAATGATATTTTTAAGAAAATTGTAGATTCAACTCGTTATATTATGAACGAGTTAGCAATATATGTAAATCGGGTGAGGTAGAAGATAAAGATTACTGTTTGAGCTTTTATTTTTTCCATTTGATTAGGGACTTTCCGTTTTGAATTTTCCTCGGAGTTCAGTATTTTTGTGATTTTACTTTTTATTGAAGTGTTAAAAATATTCTACAGAATAAGCTTTAAAACTACTATATGAGACATACTTCCTACAAGTTATGGTGACAATTTGGTAAATATGAAGAGTTAGATTTTAAAAAAGCATTTTTGAACGGACTAGTTCGTATATACGTAAATGTCTGGATTATGTAGTAGAGAATTGATAAGAAGTAGTGGATTCGTAAACGATAATCAACGAGCGACTTTAGTCGCAAGTTGATTATCGTTTCCGAATCCACTACTTCTTATCAATTCTCTAGCTTAACCCATTTCTAGTAAAACGACTGTCTGTTTTACGTTTTGACAATGAATCAACGATATTTCATAAAAATAGTTTCGTATTTTGTCTTTTTTATTCTATAATAGCTGGAAATGATTATATCCACACGGTTCGCATCTATATTTGGACATTTGACAAGTTAACATAAGTTTAAGATAACTTAAATGGGGTGGTAGCTCCCCTTTTTAACACCAGATTTTATTTTTGTATAAACATATTACCGTTGGTAACGAATGTCATAACGGTGATATTAACAGTGCAAAGTTCGAACCTTGTATCCGGAATGAAATTTTTTCATTGTAATTTTTTTCTGGACCAAAATATTGTTTGAATCCTAGAACATGTAGAAGTATTATATATTTCATTTTCATACAATGGCGATGATTTTGTTTCTGTTTTTACTGTCAAAGAAGTAGTTTTAACCCATTTCTTAAAAAAAAAATAACACCCAAAATAAAACAAATTCAATAAACATGAACACACCAAGATATATCTATTTCATTAGATTACAAAAGCGAATTATCAATGAGACAGAAATACAGTTAAATGACATGTATTGACAAGTAAGCGCTTTAAGAGTACTATTCATATAATGATTGATGTCAGCCATCGTTGTTTAGTGGTATCATGCATAGACTGAAGACTCTATTGATTATGAAGAAAATACGCGCGGGTTCGAATCCTACACATGCCACTCGTTTTTGAGAGGATAAAAGATCGTAAGTTAAAGGTTTAAAGTTATAATATAAGTTCTATTAAGTTAATACTGTGGTCAGTGGATTCTTAAAAAATAATCTACAGTAAGAACAATAGACTGACGTCAGAGAAATGGGTTAAAGAAATAAGATTTTATATTCACAATTATAACATACTGAAATATCGGCATTTGCCCATTATTTTAATTGTGTATGGGTCAATACACTGTTTGTTAAATAAAATAAATGTCTGTACTAAGTCAGGAATATATCAGTTGTTATCCATTAGTTTGATGTGTTTGAGCTTTTGATTTTGCCAATTTATTAGGAACTTTCCTTTTTCAAATTTCCTCGGAGTTCAGTATTTTTGTGATTTTACTTTTTAAAGAGAGATCATTTTGGTATGAATTAAAACACCCTTTTATCTTTTATCTTTTATCTTATTTTCTTATTTTTTCATTTATTTTTAGTGACACGTAATGATAATATGCATGATTTTTTTTTTTTTATATTTTACGACATCATATGAAAAAATAAAACTACTAGGACTAGTAGAGTTTCCAAGTTTGCCTTGTCGTTGTATGCAAAATGTATACTTTCAAGTGGTTGATGACAACTTTGGTCAAAACCTTTGTTTTAACAGGGAAACTGAAGATGACGAAAACCTTTCAGACAGGTTAGGACAACACCTAGAAGATTCCAATGAGAGAATAAAAACGTTACAAACAAAACTAGAGGAAACGGAAAGTAACCACCAGCAGCTGATAGACAAGCATCACTTGTAAGTATATTCAAAATGGAAAAGATCCATTTAATAGTATTTGGTAAACTAAAGGCTTACTACACGGTATTGGGTTTACACATAATCAAAAACAGTATGTTTGCCGACTGTTACTTACATTGACAGTATTTTTGGTATCTTGTGGATAGTTGTCTCATTGGTAATCAAAAACATCTCCTTATTATTAAAAGTTATCAAAAAAACTATTTACTTCATGTCTGTCTCGATTCACTAAGACCATATATATGTATAGGTTTTAGTTGTTACTGTATCATGTTAGAAGTTTGGCTTATATATATATATATATATGTGCGCTTTGATTAAAACAAAAGCAGATACTGAATGCATATGTATCGTTTCTGCAAACTAATATTATAGAACCTTTTTGCATTTGTTTGATCAAGATAATTATTTAATCAGGGAAACCAAAGAAAAATGTCTATTATCAAAGAAGGTTATTGAACAAGAAGAAGAATATGATGCAATAATAAAGAAATTAGTGTTAGAACTAAACGAAACAAAAACTAAACTTCAGAACTTACCAGACAAATATCAAGAGTTACAAAGGTGAGTTGGAAGAAAGATTATTGGTATTTTGTTATAATAACATAACATTAGATGTATGTTTCATTATTATACATTATTTTGATTGGCTAACAGCAAACTCGCATTATTTTTCATTTCAAAATGAATTACATGAATTGAAACATGCATGATGACACACGTTTCCAAAATAAAGTGCACAGGTAATAAAAGAAAATTTTAGAGTAATCGTGGTTTCATGATCATAGCGAAAAATGTTATTATAAGTATTGAATGCTTCTTCAGTAATTTCATAGGGTTGTAAAAGCGTTTACCGCGCTTCATATAAAATGTACTTCGGTCAACGCTTTAACACCCAATGAATTTACAAAAAGAAGCATTCAATTATTAAACAAATTAGAATATAATCTGTTATGTAAACTGCTATGAAATGTCGACACTTATAATAAAAGTTTCTATTAAGCAGATCACATCACTATGTTTTTACTTATTCGCAATGAATACGATAGCAATGACAGTAAAGAATATCGATTGAGCAACTGACAAAATCATATCTTAAGTTTAATATGTATAGATAAATATTTATTTGTAAAACTCAGCCATCAACATCTTTGCCCACAGGTATATCTTCATTCAGAAATAATTGATACCATTTTCTACAATATTAACTACTACAATGAAAAGTTAAAAAAGAACAAGATTAGGTACACGTTCTGTTAAGCCAAATTGTTCACATCTTCCCATATGGTATTGCAACTTCCGAAGCAAGGTTGTCGGCTGTCCGGACTTCCCGAAGTTATTGTTCAATTTTTAGTTTATGAGCTTCGGTCCTTGTTTGGAAGTTGGTGGTATAAGTTTTGTTCTTGGATGGAATCCATACAGTGACCTGTTGTTTTCATCTTTTCCGTTGGTAAAAACATAATTGTGTCGTTGGCATCTCTTTATTTTCAAATTAGTCAAATTGTATTTAAAGGTTTGACAAATATGAACAAATATTAAAAACAAAAACAAAAAATCTAAATTTTGCTACACTCATTCAGATAAGTGGACAGGTTAACATCACATTCCAAGAAAGGGGTTTTTCATGTCTATTTTATATAAAAATAAAGAAATAAATTTGTTTCAGAGTAAATAATCGTTTTTCTCCATAAAAATTGCATATTTTCCAACAATGTACAAATATTGTACATATGTATGTATTACTTTTTAGGGAGTTATCGAAAGAATTATACGAACAAAGGAGTGAATATGATTTTGAATTACGAAAAGCAAAAACCGAAGCAGTAGAAGCTAATAACCAAGTTAAAACAGTTAGAGACTTTTACAGAAGGTAAGTAAATTTTCAGTTATTTATATTTTACATCCTTCCACCGCCTCCCAAAAAAAAAACCAAAAAACATCACACACATTATCACAGACATGTGCATGTATTTAAACAGCCACTTTACACTACAATGAATTGTAAGTACTGCACAAATTGCTTGTTGAAGTATTAAGTACAATTTCAGGATGGTAATAGATTTTCTCGACATTCCTAGGAATGTCATTTTTGTATTCGCTTAACTGTCAAATGGCGCAATCGGTAAATTTAAGGATCAGACGAAAGAAGAAGTTATGACTTTTGAATATATAATATTTTTTTGTCATGTAGAGAGATAGAAGAAAACAGACAACTTCAAAAAGTGATAAGCATAATGACAGAGGAATTAGAAATAGGGAAGAAAAAGGTAATAAAATTAACGGTACAAATGTACTGAACCAGTTGCGTATTAAAGCTGGAGTCCAAAATAGTTTGAAAATCCAAAACCTAATACAGACGTTTAATAGCTAATTACACCAAAAACAACATTAAATATAGCCAAATCTTTATTCTTAGATTGCTTGATTATTGGTTGCTTAACTTCCTTATTCTTAAAATATAAGTGCATGTTTTGTGTATCTATAAATGTTTGTTATATATTATGAGGATTATAAAAGTATCCAAAAAAAAAATCAAAATGTGACTATATTATCTGTAATGCCTTTATCAGATGTGTTTTTGAAGTATCAGTTGACATTATGTTTGCATGAAAATGTACTCCACTTCTTACAAAATTGTTCCACTTTGTAAAAACAGCCAACGTGCGGAATCTTTCCAACAGGAGCAACACGACTGGTACCACATGTGGAGCTGTAATCTGCTTAAAAGATTTCGACCATCGAAACTCACCCTGAAATTTGTTTGGGATGTTTTTTTGCTCAGTCCTTAGCTTTCTATGATGCGCCTTGTAGACTGTTTTAACAGTTTGTATTTACTTTCTTTTTGTGCCAGCTAGGGCTTAGTCAGTGAATGAGCCAAAATGTACTGTCCTTTCTAAAACTATCATATGAAAAAAGGTCTTCTACCACACAAAATTCATTCATTGACAAAAGGAGCCCAATGCTAATTTAAATTTGAACCTTGCCTTGTGCAAGACTGACACACTGAGCTGTATATTGAAGTGCTAGTTCACAAATGCACAGTAATCGTGCACAAAAATGCATGTCCTAAAAACACGGGTCCAAAAAAACTGTATCCGAGTCTATTAAATTTATGTTGAGTGGCATGCCGGATGCACATTAATACCCCTTTTCAAGTCTTTGGTTTGATCCAACCGGTGATTTACCAAACATTACCCTCATTGCATGCAATCACACTGCCACGAGACCCCGAGACGGCTTACATAAATTGACGTTTTATCAGAGATATATATATAAATATCAATAAACAGTATGTCGCACCTATATTTGAAGGATATGATGAAATTTACCTGTGGATCTGCTAAATCTCTCATTTTTTTGTATATATACATACATTTTTATTTTTTATTATAATTATAAGCACGTAAACCCTTCTCTCTATAATACTAACGCATACAATTTCTATCACATAAATATTATCACAAGAAAGTGCAGACGTTTTAACAACAAGTAATCCTGACAATTACACTACAAACCATTAAAAGTCTGAAATGGCCTATATCTGTACTCGACTGTACTGATTTTTACTCGACCACTCTGAATTGGTCTGAATTTTACTCTACATTAATCGACCCTAGTCTTAACCATACTTGACTGTACTAATTTGTACTAGGCCCTTATCTTTGCCGTTGAAAATAGCAAACTAGAACTATTACTCGTCCAGTCTGAAACAGTCTTAACCCATTCTCGACCTGTACTCGACCTATTTTGTTCAGTCTAAACCATACTCGACCAAAGGGCTAAACAACTTGCGACCTGTCTGAACCATACATGACCCAAAAACCTCTACTTAGTTTTAAATTAATGTCTTTAAATGAATTTCTTTTTAACTGACATGACAACAGCCAAAATAAAATTAAGATATATATAAAAACAGATTTTTACATCATTGCATTATTCCCATATTTATCAAATAGAGATAGTTATATCAAATCATCGTATTTAATAATTTAATTATATTGATATTAAAGTTTTATAGTTTTGTTAAAAAATTTCATCTGAAAAACCACACCAATTATACTGAGGGTAATAAAACATAATTAAGGTGCTTCTTGTTTGGCATGTGTTTTTTTCAAACTTAATTTTCCTAAATTCCGAAATACAAACTACATAGGTTTCATGGATACATACTATAGTTTTCACTGAACTAGTACACAATTTTATTTAGGGGTCAGCTGATGACCACCTCCGGGTGCAGGATTTTATCGCTGCGTTGAAGACCCATTGCTGGCCTTTGGCTGTTGTCTGCTCTTTGATCGGGTTGTTGTCTTTTTAACATATTCCCTATTTCCATTCCCATTCTCAATTTTAAGTTAATGGTGAGAATTGTTCAAAACCATAAAATATATCTGAAATATTCAAAAAACATTGAATAACATTCAAAATATTTTTCTAAATACAGTTTTGAGATTAATTGATCAGCTTGCTTTGTCTTTTTTAAAGATGATATATATATCTAGGTGTTGATGAATATGGTGTTGAAATTATATTATGTGTATTTTGATATTCTGGTTTCAATGCTATATTGGATACATTCTTAATTTCAAATAAGTGTCTAGCCAGGAGAAAAAGCTGTTGTTAAAAACAGTTCCTAAATTGATGAAATACAATAGATAGATAGATACAAAAATGGGTCTAGGTTGGTTAAGACTTGGTCGAGTATGGTTCAGACTAGGTCGAGTATGGTTCAGACTAGGTCAAGTTAAGTTCAGATTAGGTCAAGCATGGTTCAGAATAGGTCGAGCATGGTTCAAACTAGGTCGAGCGTGGTTCAGACACGTATGAAATGGTTAAGTACTGGTCGAGTAAAGGTCGAGTACAAGTTCAGACTGTTAAGTATGGTTCAGACTACAGCCGAGTATTATCAAGTAAATTTCAGACCAATTCAGACTGGTCAAGTAAAAATCAGTACAGTCGAGTACAGAAATAGGCCATTTCAGATCTAGACTTTTACTGGTTTTTAGTGTTCACAATTGGACATTATGAACTCCAAAAATACTGATAAAATGAAGTAAACATTCTTCTAGAGTATTGTTACCTTGCTTATCCTAAGGTTAACAAGTACGTAAAATAGACCAAAGAGTAAAAAAAAACGAAGGCCACCAACGGGTCTTCAACACAGCGATAAAATGCCGCAACCGAATGCGTACTTCAACTGACCCCTTAACAAAAATGTGAACTAGTTTAGTGAAAATGGACGTCAAAATAAACTATAAAACATAAAAATGAACTAAAATTTAAAAAAAACATACTCGACTGACAAAGGCCAGAGGCTCCTGACTTGGGACAGGCGCAGAAATGCTGCGGGGCTAAACATGTTTAAGGAAATCTCAACCCTCCCCTATACTTTTGGCCAATGTAGATTAAATAAACACACAGCGACACACACACAGTAAAACTCCGTTTAAAAAATATTCCGAGTCCGATGTCAAAATAGGTAACAAAAATACTAAGCAAAAAGGTACATGAAACATAAGTTAACAAAGGACTACTGGCAGTTACATGCCAGGTCCAGATCTCAGTTAAACTTATTGAAAGATTATCTCTTGATCATATGAAAATCAAGTCTTTATTTCTGTCATATTTTTTTCATCTGTACACAGTTGAGTGAGAAAGATGTGGAAATTGACAAGTATCTAAATGATTTTCACTCAATTTTCGAAAGACACAAAAGAGACAGTGAATATCCAACAGATCAAGATGATCTCCAAGAAGTAAGTTAATTATTATAAATAACTATAAGTAGTATGCATAAAAAAGAATGAATGCCACTAGAACGGGTTTTGATGTAATCCGGTGCAATATCAACATTTTTATATAAACACCACTCGAGCAGTTGCAATACTTAAGGGCTTTTGTTTCTTGTCAGGATTACCATAATAAATGGATTAACGCAGTATGACAATTTGAAATATTTTGGGATTCTTTAAAGCTGGTTGATTGGTGTGAGTCAATGCTCCCTGTTGAAGACCTTACTTTGACCTATAATGGTTTACTTTTACACATGGTGATTTGGATGGATAGTTGTCTCATTGACACTCATACCACATCTTCTTATATCTATTTACACCTGATTTCATTGCACAATATTTCTTTTTTATAACTAAATGGAATAGAGAAAGCTGATTCACTTCTTGTTTTTTTTTTTTTTTTTTTTTTTTTTTTGTAGTTTTTTTTAGATTAAAGTTATGGAGGCCTCTCTCGTTTTTTTTTTATAATTTTTTAAATTGACATTAAATTATGAGCCTCGGTTGACTCTCATTCCTAACACATTTCTGCGTGGAAATAAACACATTAAATGCTAATTTTAATATTTCATAAATAACCTCCAAACTTTTAAATCCAAAAATAGAAGTGAAGACCTATATAAATTCTACTTTAAATTCGAGTCTTGTTTAAAATAGAAAACACCACAGACTTAATAGTCGATGTTTAAAATGGCGCTGATATTAGAAAAAAAAGTAATATGTACCTTTATATTGCGGAGTAAGACTACATGTTTACAGTTTTACAATATAATAGCGTGTAATACATTGGTGGTAATTGCCTGCTTAATATTTTCAGACGTCGCATATGATGAGTAGTGAAGTAAATAGAGATATTTTACAGTATGTTGGTGAAAAAGTCATTTCCAATTCTGTTCTTCAAAAATATCCTGATGTCAAATTAAAAAGGAAAAGTGATAAGCTGGTGTTGGTATGTTCCTCTCAAGAAATGATGAATGGTGTCCAGCATTTTCTCAATGATATGATCACATTTGCTGGGGATACACTGTCCTGGTCACTGGAACACACTAACAATGAGACGCAGTCAGATTCCGATTCGTCTGATGCAAGTAATCAAACAATGGTTACTTTTGAAATGAGTTCAGATGACTATGGCAAATTTCAGTTTTTCTGTAAAGATGACGTATTGCAACATGCTTCGTATGATGGTACTAACTTAAAATTAAAACTCAAATTGCCAGCTGAAAGACAAAAGTATGAAGAAATTATCATATCTCATCTGCAACAACTGTTGTTGTTAGAACACGTGACTGTACATTATGTCGAACCCTTGCAACAAGATGTAACTAAAGGTGTTATTGCTGAAGAATTTCCTTCTATTTATTGTCAGCTAAATAACAACGTCATTCAATTATTTGGAGACGAATTGTCAATTCTGCAGCGAGCCAAACAACGCTTAGAAATGATTCTGAACATTAACCAACAATTTCCAAAAGAAAGAAAGGATAATGACATACCAGATTTAGACAATATTGACGTGTTTAAATCAAAAGAAATAGATTACATTTCACCAAATCACTTTGCATCTAGAAGTTTCTCAATGAATGATGTCCGCTACGACGATGAAATCTCCGCAAATTGGGTTTTTACTACTGCAGAAGGAATAAGTGTTAAAGTTTACCTTGGAAGTATTTTGAACCTTGAAGTAGAATGCATAGTTAAGGCCAACAATGAAAAAATGTCTTTTCGTTATGGAAATTCTGCACCTATTTATGAGGCTACAAGAAAACAGTATACTGTAGAATGTGAAAACAATATTAGACGTTATGGCACATTGCAAGTCGGCACATGTGTGTCATCGTCATCTAATAACCTTTATTACAAATACGTTATACACACAGCTGAGCCTCGGTGGCATGATTATAATGAAAATGAAAAGCAGAAATGTGCTTTAGATTTAAAACAATGTATTGTATGTTGCCTTGTTGAAGCTGACAGGTTGCGGATGAAATCAATCGCATTACCGTTTGTCAGCACAGGTATGTGTTTTGCGACAAAATAGCATTTCTGTTGTGGTAAAAGAAAAAAAAAATCATGTCCTTGAATTTAGCTTTTTAAAAATGCATGCATAACTAAAGTTCATGGTAAAATGGCATAGGGTTGAAATTGTAATGCTTTTATCAATTCACAAAAACATGGAGTAAATGGAGTAATGATATACACTAAACAACAAACAATCAACACTTGAAATAAACCATATAATTTTTGTTATTGTTTGGGATTTCTTTAATTCCACCCATCATTGTATGTGTTATATGTAGCCTTTTCACAAATATGATGAAACGTAGGTGTTAGGTTTGCCTTTGTTTTTACAGATTCTCAAATCTTAAATGCATGCTAGTTTATCTTTCTCATTTTGTTGCAGGCATTTCTGCAGTTCCTAAAGACATGTGTGCTAAAGAATACTGCAAGGCAATAGAAGAGTATAGCAGAATCAGAAAGAATACGTCAAGTTTAATTGAAATATATTTCATAGATAAAAATCATACTCTTGTTAGTTTTATCAAACAAGAATTTGCAAAAGCTTTCAAAAAATCAGGACAGCGTTATGTTAGTAAACAAGAAGCGGGAAGACAAAATGTTAAACCATATTCCAAGAGCACAAATGTACGTGCAGCGCAGTTACGTGTCAGGACTGGAATGGAGAGTGAAAACTCAGAAGTCTGTTGTATTTGCTGGAACAAGATGATGCAACCCAAAAAACTTCAATGCGGCCATTTGTTCTGTTCCGTTTGTATTGACCACCATTTTAAGCATGCACCAACATGTCCACAATGTGGCGGTATACAGGGAATTCTCACAGGGATACAGCCCCCAGGAAGGATGGAAACTAATATCAAAAGTTCCTCACTGTGTGGTTTTCCAGGAACAAACACTATTGAAATAGTGTATGTTATACCATCAGGTATACAAGGGGTAAGTAACTGAAACCCCTTCACTTTTCAAGAATGTGACCTACTGAATTAGAATATTTACCGGGTTTGTAATACAATGAGCAACACGACGGGTGCCACATGTGGACGAGGATCTGCTTACCCCCACCGCGGAGCACCTGAGATCACCCACAGTTTTTGGCGGGGTTCGTGTTGCTTAGTCTTAAGTAGTTTATGTTATGTCTTGTGTACTATTATTTGTCTTTTTCTTTTTTGGCCATGACGTTGTCAGTTTGTTTTCGATCTATGAGTTTGACTGTCCCTCTGGTATCTTTCGCCCCTCTTTTAGCAATGTTATAACGTAGTCAGGAAAGACTTGTCATTCAATAACTCACATTTCAAGAAGTAGCAGCACATTGTACACTTCATTACAAAGATACCGCCGACACCAGAAAGGCGACATCAAAAGAAATATAATTACAAACGTGACAATTTTAGCAATCAAATGAATTAAAATAAACTATAATTTCAGCCTTTTGTATAGCTTTGGCATATCCGAATGGCCCAGTAATATGCTAACATCTCCACATTATACCTGGGCATAAACAAAACGTTAATTGAAATATTAAACTTAGTTTATCGCGGCATCCAATATTTCCTAGAACAAATTATTAGTTTTAAGCAGTCAATCAAGGTTCCTATCCGTCACAAATAAGCCAACAAACATCGCTCTTTTGATTTTAATTTTCAACATTTTACGTGTTATTTATGTTTGTTGCTTACAATTTTCCGGGATCACATACCAATGGCCAGTTCTTGAAGGTATTTTGTAACTTTTAAAATACTAATGAATGCTGTATAGTATGCTATAAACAATTTTTGATGTAAAATCAATTCTGTTGACATTACTTTTGCAGCTTATGACCCTTTAGCATGCACATAAACAGATTTAGCAGCGTTACTTATGACAAAGAACGACTGACATTTACACTACTCAAGTTTGATATAGGTGTAATACCATCATTGCGAATTAATTGGTTTACCGATTTGATGAGTCAGTCTGTATCTCAACTCATGAAAGACTAGTTTACGTGGTTTTTAATCTATCGATAACAACCGTCGGATCTATATTTACCAAGTGTCTCCTTTTGAATATCGTTATATATAACTAAGTCTAGATTACATGGAGGAAGAATGCATGCACAGCAGAAAATAACAGATTTAACAGGTTAACTTATTTTTTATATTCAAGTTTATTTTTTGCCTTTGCAGGCAGAGCATCCAAATCCTGGGAGACGCTTTGAAGGAATAACAAGACGGGCATATCTTCCAAATAATACAAAAGGCCAGTTGGTTGCAAAGCTATTACAAATAGCATTTGATAGACAATTGGTATTTACTATTGGAACATCGAGAACAACAGGCAAAACAGGAGTTGTAATTTGGAATGATATCAGTCATAAAACTAATCCAGAGCCCAATGCTACGTAAGTTAAACATTCACTTCTTCTTAGTCTACGGTTTTTTATTCTCAAAATAGTACTAGTAAAGAGTTTTCTTTGGTATTACTATAAGTGGTGAACATGGATAAATATTAAAGTGTATTGTTATACCTTTGATTGTAGTTATCATGATTGTAGAAATTGATCGACCTGGGAATGAAGAAAAATATCTAGTCTATTAGAATATTCAAAGTGGTCTGATTCATTTATTATCAGAGACCCTGTTACTCAAACGCATTGTAAATGAGTAGGTGGAAAGGGTATTGGGAGACAGGGAGAAAGGGGGCGGGAGAAAGGAGAGAGGGGCGGGATAAAGGAGAGAAAGGGCGGGAGAAAGGAGGGAGAACTATCAAAGGGAGACGAACTTTAATGTTGAAAAAAAATAAAGAGGTAAAAAAACGAAAAAACTGGATACTAAATGTTCTTATAAATGGACAAATCTTTGAAAAAAGGCAACATTTATATTTCCCAAACCATTTTTTGCCATTTCCGATCATTTCTAGAAATCATCCTTTTTAAAATCAATCGGGTCCAGGACCAATCCAGTATATCTTATCAAAATCCTTCGTAATTAAGTCCATTTTTTATGTACAATGTGTATCATAACTGTTCCTTGTTACGGAATATATTTTTTCAGCATTTATTTTCATATTTTGTTAAGAAATTTGCACTTGCATGTTTGCAGTATTACTGTTGTGTGTGTGTATTTTTAGAATAGAAATTCAGATTTAGTCTGTGTTTCAAATATTAAAGGAGGTGTTTCGGTTATGGTCATGAGACCTAGGCTTATCCTCATCAGGTATCCCTAGCCTATATTTTTCTTTCTTGTAATATTTAGAATGGTTCCAATTTGATTTCACTTATGGGGATACGACACCTGTTCATACGTTCTAGTTCGTTTCTTTCTTTTTTGTTTGTTTCTGTTTTTTCGTTATTTATTTCTCTCTTTATTTTAGCTGTTCTGTAATTTTATTGTGTGTGATATTTTTATCTTTTATTTGATTTTATACGACTATATCATTTTCCATTTTAGAATTCGTTAAATATTCTTTTAGATTTTTATGTCTTTTGTACGCAATAATCGGTGGTTTTGTATTTCTGTTTTGTTCGATTAGGTGCCAATGTTTCCTTAAAGCTCTTCCGATTCCTGTAAATGCTGGGTTAAATCTTGTTGCAAAAACGAGTGGTGGAGGCGCTTTCTTATTTTTATAATTGTATTTCAAAGTTTGTTTCCTTTCTCGTATTGTTGTATTAGTTATAATGTTGTCAATCTCATTTTCGTAATGTCCTTTTAAGAAGTTTAGACTTAAACAGTTGGACTTCTTTATTGAAGTCATTTAGGTTATTGCAAGATCTTATAAAACGAATAATTTCTGCAGTAATGAATCCTTTATATACGGATGTAGGGTGGGTTGATGTTCCCCATAAGTGAAAACAAATATGAACCATTCTAAATATTACAAGAAAGAAAAATATAGGCTAGGGATACCTGATGAGGATAAGCCTAGGTCTCATGACTATAACCGAAACACCTCCTTTAATATTTGAAACACAGACTAAATCTGGATTTCTATTCTAAAAATACACACACACAACAATTATACTGCAAACATGCAAGTGCAAATTTCTTAACAAAATATAAAAATAAATGCTGAAAAAATATATTCCGTAACAAGAAACAGTTATGATACACATTGTACATAAAAAATGGACTTAATTACGAAGGATTTTGATAAGATATACTGGATTGGTCCTGGACCCGATTGATTTTTAAAAAATTAATACGTTATCCACTTGACCATACAAAGTAAGGTGTTCTCGAGGACAGGGAAAAAAAGAGATGACACAATAAAAAACTATGTCTAATTTCATGATCGTCATACATGACCATACATATCAAAAATGAGTTTCTTGACATTGGGGCATGCACATTGCACCATTGACAACATTCCAACATTGTGTATTAATTAGCGTACGAGTCGGAGGCAGGCCTTGTTCGTAAAATCAGTATATGCTTTAATAAAGACCTATGCCACCTATATATGGTCATATATTAATTCAAATTTGTATTAAAATCGATTGATCTAAAAAAAGACGGTTGTTAAGGTGGGAGATGGAAGCAGAGGGGCGGGAGAAAGGAGAAAGGTACCCCCTTTCCACCCCCTCGTAAATAGGTCTCCTAATTACGTACTGGCTTAGTATGCCGACTAGTTTAAATGAAACTTAAAATTCCGACACAGAACGGGATAAAAATATTATTCCATATTGGTATTATTTTAGTAGATATCTCTATACGAATTTGATTTTGAATAAAAAAGAATATTCACCTGGAGAGAAGTAATATTCACCGCTCCAAACGTCACGCGCTTTTACATGTAATGTTATGGTAAATGTTTGGTGTACATTTAGTTTTGGTAAATATTTGTCATTAAATACACTGTTTTCTTTCGGAACATGAAATAAAACAATTACTTTCGTTTTGAAGTTCAACTTGAACCAAAGAACAGTAAAACTATTCAATTATAAATAACAATGGCACTTTTTACCAATATATCCTTCCATCTTATAAATTATGATACATTTGGAATATGTTATAAAATGAAAACGAGCAAGCACTCTTTACTAATAAGGAGAACCTGAGTTCACCAAGGTTTGGTATATTGTTCGTGCTTCCCAATCATTATGTATCCGATCAGTTTTTTTTTTTGTGAAGATTTCTTTTGTTTTATGCATTGCTGCTGTCTTACTATATACATATTCAAATGTATTTTCACCTTGTTTTAATTATTGAGACAAGATGAACCGATATTTATCGTTAGAACTTTATTTTGAAATAAAAAAAAATCATCTATGACAAACGCGAGAACTTCTATTGTCATATAGTAAATTTTCAACCGCCTCTTTGGTAGCGTTTTATGTTGTGATGTTACGATACTTTCTCAGGTTAGGGTGAATGCTGTCACCTGTTTAAACGTTTAATACCACTGCATATTTATGCACCTGTCCTACATGTAAGACATCAGCATGTTGTTTAGTGGTTGTCGTTCGTTGTTATGGTATTTCTTGCTTCACTTTGATATAGATAAGACTGTTGGATCTCCTGTTTAAATTGATTCACACTATCAATTTTTTGGGCCCTGCTGTTCGATGTGAGCAAAAGACTTCGTTTAGAAGGCCGTATTTTGACCTATAATTATTAACTATTAATACATTGTGACTTGGATGGAGAGTTGTCTTATTGGCACTCATAACACACCTTCTTATTCATATTAAGAGTATTTTTTTTATTTTTTGAGTGTTGCAACGATATGCTATAGTTTTGTTATTGATTTTTGTTGGGTGTTTGGGATATTCCATCAATATTTATTTTAACTTCATTCAAACACGTTTAAATTGGAGTTTATGCAAAGTTTGTTGTTTCATTTTTGTTTTTTGCATCCTTGTATATATATGACTGCTTGTCAGAAGACTACTCATATATTAACTGTTAACACGCACATAACCCTGATAAATGAAACATCTCTATTATATAATTAGTTGTCCCTTTATTTGATTTTCAGGTTTGGTTTCCCTGATGATACATACTTTGATAGAGTACTTGATGATTTAGGCTTTAAAGGTGTAACAGAGAAGGATATAGAGCCGTAACGACGTAATTTGTTTACAGTGAAACAGATATGAATATAAAATTTCAATAGACCAGATATAATCACAATTAATGTTTTATTTCTTTGAAGTTTAAAGCTTTAACAGCATTTCTTTCATAATTTGTGTATTATTTCTTGAATAATTATATGCATACGACATTTGGAAGTTATTGTTGAGAATATTTTAGGAGGAATTTTATATCCGCTCCAAATTATCAGCTTTTGTATTAGGATTTTTTTTTATATTTAATTATACAAATATATCCATCGTCATCTGTGAAGAGATTCAACCCTCTACCTTACTCTTTAATTTTTATTAGCGTTTGTTTTTTAGGGTTTTTTTTCAAACATTTTTTTTTTACATGTGTCATCTGCCGTGTTGCTCATGTAAGTAAAATAGTAGTGATTAGCATAATCCGGTAATTTCATTTTCGAGGAAAAAAGGACGGGTTGGTGGTTATGACAATTTTAGTGCAGCAGTCAACATTGTGTTGATCACTATAAAAACAAACAACTGTGTCAACAAAGAAAAAAACCACAATGGCATATAGACACTCTGTAGACAAAGCACATAAGCAAATATAAAAGACAAGAATACAAAACAATAACACAAAGGCTGGATATATAAATACTGGGCCAAAGGATATAACCACAAGAGTGCACACGCTGAAATGTCTTCGCCCTTTGAATTAATGTTTATGGTCCTAATTATATACCTTTACTACAAGTATCATATAATCTAAACATGATCTAAGAAAATAAGGTCAAGGTCAGATAAACCAAACCGGAAATACATGTACACCTTACAATCATTCCATACACCAAATATAAATAACCTATTGCTGAAAAAAAAACTGAATAGAATTTGATAGATTAGACCGTTGGTTTTTCGTATGAATTAAATTTAATTTATAGCTTACTTTTCGGTGTGAGCCAAGGCTCCGTGTTGTAGACCGTACTTTGACCTATAATGGTTTTTCTTTTACAAATTGTGACTTGGATGGAGAGTTGTCTCATTGGCACTCATACCACATCTTCTTAAATCTATTAAACAGGAAAACTTAACATTGACAAATGAACCATGAAAGTGAGGTCAAGGTCAGATGGACCATGCCAGACCGACATGTACACCTAATCAATGGTTCAAATTTAGTTGAAATATTACGCCGTATCTTATTTTTGACGTGTTTGTACATGGTAACAGTTCGCAATTACATATCAATATCAAATTACCATAACTTCGAATCAATCCGTATGTAGTGAAACAATTATGGCCACCATAGTCGTTGAACATTTAGATTTGTCAACTTCTGACAGTTGTTTTTCTTTGGTCTAAATCCCGTGATGACTATACTGCAGTCTCAATTTTGTATAAAAACGTGTTATTATAACCCATTTGGGTAATAAATCATAGATCATGATACAGTAGGCTGGCAGTGAATTGTTAACTTAAGCAATGTTCGTACTTTGTAGACAAGATGCACGTCTAGTGTACCGAAACCATAAGCCAGGTATATCTGTTATGAGTTTCGATTTTCATTGTCTGCTAATTGTTTTTAAATGTTTGAGATGTTAAGCACTTTACGTGACAAGGTATGCATTAATATATTTTCTCAAATATATGGACTCAGTATAATGTGTGATGTAGCTCTTTTCTGTCTTTTAAAACAAGTAAGTTCGAAACCATTACATGATGCGAATAGGAATGTCCTTCCTATTCAGCGCTTCCAATAAAGCAATTGATGGTATCAACATCAACAAAGTTCTTCATCACAGACAAGTGCTTATTATGTTTGCTCACACATTGTTATCAATATATTGGAACAGTCTATGCGACTGTCATACAAGTGAGAGCTTTAGCTAGTTATAAAACCAGGTTTTATCCACCACTTTCGACATACGATAATGACTGTATCAAGTCATGTGTTTGATCTTGTGATTTTTGCCATTTGATAAAGAACATTCCGTTTTGAATTTTCCTTGGAGTTAGGTATTTTTGTTATTTTACTTTTTACCGTAAAACTGGATGCTAGGATAAAGATGTTGAGTAACACGGTTGTATTTTTGTCACGTTTGATCAAGAAACGAAATTATTGTGATATTTGTTAAACGTCAAGCAAGAAAATATGCAGTGTTTATTTAGTAGAGCAATGAACGAAAGGCCTAAGCATAAGATAAACCCCTGTGTCAAGATATAAATAAACTGACACAAATTTGGTGTATTTATATCTTTTTACGGAGGTCTGCTATAAACTCATCCACTGATTTTCTATCATAATTGTTCATATAATGCTCATACTGTTTAAATATACAATTCATAACCTCATCGCCATACAAACGATCGCCGACCTTCAATATCAAACAGATTGCTATCATTGGAACTATGCTGGGATTAACAGTCATTATGATAGAAAGTTTTAATCCAGAGAGTGTCAGTAGCTTTATGATGCGTCTGTTCATTTCTATTTTGGATAAATTTCCGTTTTCAAATTCATTACAAATGGTCAGATATTTAACAATAACCAGTGTAAGAGAAGCAGTAGTATTGGCGATCAGATTTGCATAAGACTCATTTTCCAACATCTTATTGAATATAGCACGCATTGTTTCTGCTGATATTCCGTAAATCATTCCATCTTTCACGCCAATCGATAATCTCTTTGGAGTTTGTTGAAGAATTTTTCTCAATATCATTCGGATGTCAGATTTCTTTTTATTCTCTTTACATAGGGTTGCAATCAATGAGGAGGAGCCCTCCAGTACGGCAGAAAATGCAATTTGTCCTGCTAAGGCCTCTGCAAAATACATGGCAGAACTATCATCAAATGATTCAGCAGATGTCTTTCCTGTAATGTCCTCTGTATATGGCTTAGCAGACGAATCATCAAAAGATTTGGAAGATTTCTTACCTGTAATGTCCTCTGTACATGGCGTAGCAGATACATCATCAAAAGATTTTGATGATTTCTCCCTATCCTCATTTTCGTGAAACATATGATTGCATTTATATTCATCGGATTCGCCAGGTTTTTTCATAAAATGCGCATACAAACTTTTAAAATTTTCCGGCATTTTCTTAAACAAAGGAATGTTTATCTTGGAAATATTCAAATAGGTATAGATGTCTTGTCCCTGACTGTAAAGTTATACTTGCTTACAGTTTCGGTTAATCTCCTTAAAATTTTTGGTCGTTCAGAAGGAAACTTATACTTCGAAAATGATTTAAAATAACCTCTTGTGAAGACAGAGATTTTTCCTCGAACATGTGTAAAGTTGATTTTCCGTTGTCTTAATCTTGGAGCAGTAAAATAACTTGCAGTGGAATATATGAATTTAATTCTGTTCCTAGCTTTACCATGAACAGATATATTTACACCAGAAAACATGATTATCATTCACTGGTGAATCTGCAGAAAAATACATAAACAGTTAATTAATCATTGTTAATCAACCAATTATTGATATCCCAAAATATAATCGCGGCTCTGTAATATATTTTAATTATTCATCAAATTAAAATAATAACAGTTACCTAAATTACAATAACTCCCTTATGAAAAGAGAAAGTTTGCTGCAACCTTGCGGTAAGGTTGCAGCAAACTTGAGGCAATTTTTAGTTCGACAGAAGACCTGAAAGTTGTCCACCAGTGTGCAGCGACCTTTCGGCAAACAAGTTTGCCGCAAGTTTGCCGCAAGCTCTTATCTTTCTTAAAATTGAAGGAACTTTGTAAACAGACTTTGCAGCAGACGCCAAGTTTGCTGGAACTTCGCCGTAAACTTTATAGCATGCCTTTAGGAATTTTGGTCCTCAATGCTCTTCAACTTCGTGCTTTATTTGGCCTTTTTAACTTGTTTGGATTCGAGCGCCACTGATGAGTCTTTTGTAGACGAAACGCGCGTCTGGCGTAAATACAAAATTTAAGCCTGGTATCTATGATGAGTTTATTTACCATAATATGTAGCTTATTTCTAATACTGAGCATGTTCCATGCACTTAAAACAGACTTCCTGCTTCTTTAAATTTGAAATAGGAGGGAACATATAATGTTGATACTTTTTGTTCTGTCACATTTATTTAGTAGAGTTATCTTCCTTTCCCCACATTTTATTTTTGGTTAATTTTCGGTATGTTTCACTCCCCTAGATTACATGAATCGATAAGACCCGAGTAGATAGAAAGGAAAATGGCACATGGCCCGCAAGAGCCGCAAAGCAATTTTGGGAATAATTCAATTATTTGGAAATCTAGTGGTCCCCCACAGAGTAAGTTTTATTACCTGCCTGATATACTCATTTATTTGTATGTAGATAAGTTTTGTGTTATAGATTCTTATTATTAAGGTTTTGTGCCAATTCATAAGCCACTTGGTTGTCTGCATTTTTTTATATGTATTTGTGTTGAAATAATTTGCTACTTTTTCGTACATTTGTGTATTGTTAGATATTTTTCATATCAGTTAAGATATTAGGATTAGGCACATATCATGTATATTTTTCGATACTGTGTAATTGGAACTTTTCGTACTAAAGAAATGGCTAATTGAACCGAGAAACTTCTTCTCGTAACTTTCGTGCATCCGTGCACATTTGGAGTATTTTGCGACTTTAAATAGAACATTTATTATTATCTAGGCCTAGGATATAGTAAAACTTAGTCTATGTCAACGGACAATCCGCTTAGGACATATTATTAGTGTGATTAATTTTGTTATTGTTGATGTTATCTTTTACTTTGGCCTTGTTGTGAACCGAACATGTTGCAACTACAAATTCTGCTCACCTGGACACAAGGGTGCATTTAGGAGCAAATTGATAAATTTGAGAAATATATTTTTCTTGTTTGTTTTGAACATTTAAAGCATAATAAGTGATTTATTCATTGTTTTGCATTACTTGTATTATGTTTAATTACAATACATGTTAAGAAATAACTTAGGAACAATTACTTATGATTGTTTATTTTTTTTGTAGCTTTTTACCTTCTCCTGGGAAGTTTGTAGTGAAATAAAGAATTACAAGAAACATTTTGTTAGTCATTAGGCATTACAGTAAAAAGTCTGACGATTGGACCAGCATATTATGGACACGCCAAATGATGTAGAAACAAAACGACTGAGAACACTTACAGTTAAGGCAATGGAAAACTATAAAGAAAGGGTTCAAGTTTATCATAATAAACTATTAGAAAAAAGACAAGCAGTCGAGGAATCATTAACCTATCTGGAGGAACAAACAGGAGATATACATGTTCTAGGACAGGTTAAAGAAACTCTTGT